GAAAAGGGTGGCGCCGGGGGCCGCCGCCTAGTGACCTGCGGCTAACCTAGGCGCTTCAGCCCAGGGAGGACAAGCCAAAACGTTTGACGTGCCGTGCCTATTGCGTGCGCGCGGCGCGAGGGAATTCTTCTCGAAACGTGGCGATCACCTTTGGGGGCAGCAAATCAATCGACGGGGCAGGTTTTTCTCTTTTGCATCACCGAACCTCTGCATGGGCGGCATCGAACACGAGCAGGTGGCGTCTATCTTTTGCTTTCCGTTCTCGCACCCAACCTATCGCCGCTCCATCCTCTATCCCTTTCTGTTGGTTCGGCCAGGATCGGCTGCAGAAGCAGGTAGGCAGAGGCAGGCAGGCAGGCTAGGCCACCACAACGGCCACCACTCTCCATGACCCTCAGAGCCTCCAGCGTCCGTCCTCTTTTCAACTCCATCCCTTTTCCCCATGAGGCGCGCGTGTCGACTTTGCCGATCGCTTGTGGGCTGCGCCGAAGAGGCGCCCCGGCGTCTAAGCAGGGAGGGACACCGGCGTCAAGCGGAAGACGCAATGGAAAGAAGACGGACGGGGTGGGCATATTGCGTCTCCCTGCGGGAGCGGATGTCTCCATTCTCTCGTGAGCCGGATATAGACGTCAATAAAGCCGCCGGGTACAGCAAGGATTACGTCTCGGGAACTTGCTTTTCCGTGTTTATTTTTCTTTTCTATTGTTCGCATCCCTTTTTTTCACTCTTCCTCGTCTTCCTTCCTTTTTTCCTTCTGGAAGCCTGTCGTGTCGATCTTCGGAACAAGGAGCAGCAGCAGCACCACCACCACCACAGCGCGTCTGCAAGGGAACCACACACAAGCGCTGTGGGAGGGGGAGTGTGTGTGGGAAGACAAGGGCAAGAGGCGCACCATCACCAATGCGGATCGTCAAATTTGATGTATGCAGCGTGTGTAATGGAAACTTGCAGAAGCTTAGGGTTGTCAGACTGGCCTGTTCGGGGTTGCCGCTGCGGCGCGCCAGATGAGCCGGCAAGAAAAAAAAAGGAGGTGACAGAGTGAGTATCCTAGGTAGTTCAGCCAATCATTTGACCGGGACCCGTGAACCTGGAATGTCCCGAATGACATGGCCGTGGAGCACATTGGTGCTAAAAAGGGGGTTATGTAAGACGGAACGCTACGTCGCTAGAGCTCTGGTGCAGAATATTGGCAGCGACGAGGTGAGAGCTTGGAGAATCGAGCACGCAAATAGTCGCAGGGCCTTGGCGGCAGCCAGTCGACGTGCTAATTACACATGTGAGATGGACGGGGCGCCGGGGAGATCAGTGGGGAGGGGACAGACAGTCGGTGGATAGGTGGCCCCTTGCTCACGTCTCTTTTTTTTTTTTTTTTTTTGTTCCTCCTGACCTGTCTACCTGCGTGTGTGCCAGTCCTGCGGTTCTAAGCTTACCCTCAATCGCTCGTCGGTGGAGGAGAGAATGCAGGCTTCCCAAAACGTGCAGGCGGTCGCATCCCTGGAGGTGGTGATGCGTGTGTGTTGCTGTAGCACGCAGGTCTGGTTTTTTTCTTTCTCTTCTGCGTCCACTAGTCTCCTTGCCTGCCTCGACGCATCCACAACCCGCGTGAGGCTATTGCGTGTCGTCTTTCGTGCTTGTTTCTTTCTGGCTGTCCCTTCCGACGTCCGCCCATAGTGGGCTGCTAAAAATATCCTAAGCGCCCATCCCATGCCATCATCCCCACTAACACACCCCTGCACCGGGCTGACCCACCCCTGACAGCGATCCCATCAGGTGGACCATCCCGTCGTCTGAACTTTGCCCAACGGCGATCCTGACGACAACGTCGCAGTTTTGCAGCCGGCAGGCTTTAGCGATCGCATGGGATGGGGTTCAAGCTGTCGGCCTAGTGGTCAACGAAGCAGAAGGAGCAGAGGAGAGGGAGGGTAACACCAGCCCGATCATCAGGCTTAGGCCTCCTTGGCGGCGGCCCTCAACCACCCTGCTACTGCCGAAACCAACAAACCCAGCTGCAGTAGACGGTCCAGGGCAGAGCGAGGGTCTTCCCCATGCTGCTTGCGGGATGGTCGGGCGAACAAGAACCGCACATCAATGGGAAAGACGGCACGGGCAACCGCACCAGCTCCCTGGTACCAACGGCCCTGGTATCGGTCGCTCCAGGCGCTCCTCCCCTCCTCCTTGCCCTGTCGACATTAGAAGCGTGTCTCAGATAAAAAAGGGACTCTTATGCGCGTGTCTCGGGTAGAAACATCAGCGATTATGTTTCACTGGCACCAAGCCGTGGCTTGCTGGGCTCGATGGTCATACTCTGTAAAACCTCACAGCCGGTAGGGCTATCCCGTCTAGTACCGAGGGGGGGGGGGGGGNGGGGGGGGGGGGTGCGTGTGTGGCCTCTGCTGACTACGTGCTCTGATTGTCTCTTGTAATCGGGGTGGAATTACATGCCCTGCCCCCAAGCACGCGGGTCAGGAACGGGCAGCTCGGTACCATGCCCACACATACCTACCACACACGCGCACGCACACACATACTACACACATACACACATGCACACACGCACACACACACGCACACACGCACACACGCACACACGCCCTATGCCTGCAGTGCACCCACCGGGCATAGTTCCGAGAAAAGTGCCGGAGGGGTAAGCCACGGTTTTGTTATACCCCTAGCAAAAACATAATTCTGCTGGGGCTGAGACGCAGGCGGGTGCGGCTTCGCACCATGGCACGACCGGCAAATAGATGTGGCTTGTGTGCATGTTGCTGCTGCTGCGCATTATTCCAGGGGCTTGACGACTGATTGGGGCTTGATCACTGAGGCTTGATCACTAAGTCGAGGGGTAAAAACGGATACAGTCAACGTCTCCATCTCTCCCACGTCGTCCCCTTACGCCTCTAGCTTTTTCTTGTGTCCTCTTTGGGAACATCGTGCATCTCTGTTTAACTAGATTCAATCTTTCTTCGTCTCTTTAGAGACTTGGGGTTAATAGTGGGAGAAAGCGTGGTCGACAAAAATAGGACATCCCGTGCAGGTGACATGTGGGCTACCCGGATGCGGTATAGCGGGGCGCCTAAAACTGGGCATGCATCCGCTGATCCCCCGCCGATGAGTTTGAACTGATATGATTTGGTGGATGTTTTGTTTCTCGTTTCTTTGGAAATGTGTGGATTGGCACAGGCAGCAAACGAGACCGACTGCCCCCAGATTCGGAAGACGCTCCTGGTCCAATTCCACGGCATGGCTCCTGGCTTCTGTGCGACAGAACACATATCGGACCTGTCGGACGGCGCCGGTCGGCCCCCTTACTGTCGGCCCCTCGCCTCCATTCGTGGCCGGTTTGAACGGCCATCCTGCCGTGACTCTGATGGGGGCTGTTTGTTGCCGTCCGCGATACCGCTCTCCAGCTGTGGGACGTCATCCCTCGCGCCGTCCCGGCTACGCGGTAAGATGAAACAGAGCTGAGGACTAGATGTCCATTTACCTGCGTTTTTGTCTTGTTATTGCCTGAAGGTTACCTGAGCATCCACGGGAGTAAACGCCCCCCTCCACCCGTCGCATATCACGCGCAGGGGTAGCGGGTAGCTGGGTTGTGCCCACGTTGTTTTTCTGCGCTGCGCCAACGCTCCCCTCCTTCCCGAACAGGGACGCAGTCGACTCGAGGCCACGGCAACTCGACCACTCAGGGCAGTCGTGCTAAAGAAGTAACACCAGAAGTCAAGACGTGCGTCTAGCGCTTTCTGGCCACCGAGAGCGTCACCCTGCATCACGGCGTCTGCCGCATTTAGCGTGTTCACCCGCCATCAGAGAACAGACGGCGAGGAAACCTTCCAAAAGCAGAGATGGCGGCTCCGTCTGGGACTCCACGTATGCCGGCATCGTAACATCGCGACTTGGGCGACCTGGTTCCTCCCAGTCCCCTCAGTGGTTCGCATTGGCGATCTAGGCGACAGCCTATTTTTCCATTGATTTTCTGACCATCTTTCGGCTGGTCGCATGCACACCTGACGGACACGCATCTGTCTGTAAGCTCCACCAAACCACCCAGATTAAACCGTGGTGGTCTTCTAAAACGGGGTGTGCATCTTGCAGCCATTTTGTGGGTCGCGCAGCAACCCATTCTGCAAGCAGACGCGCAGCGCGAGAGGCTGCGCCACCGCGGTTGTGCAGACTGTCAGACTGGCTTTGCCCGCCCGCGCCCGGTGGAGTGAAGACTTCTTTTTCGTCACTCTACTCCACCCGCCCGCGTTTGCGTGCGCGTTTGCGTGCGCGCTTGCGATGGGACGAGCTACGGGTGTGTACTCAGGAAGGTACCTAGATAGGTGGTACGTATCTGGTAGGCAGGTATCCGGTAGGGAGGTGCCACTTCTCTACCGAGTCGCTGACCTGTTCATGTCGTGGAAGAATGGACGTCTGCTCGGCGGCGCGCGGTCCAGATGATGATGATCGTCGACATGGAAATGGAGGGCCACATCCACATGGGTCGCCTGGGGCTCGGCAAGCCCTTCGCTGTGCGACCACTTTGCGCGCTCCTTCGGCGGGAGGAAGCGACTGACATAATCGCAGACGCCACAAAACACATCCGCGCGACCTGAGTGGCCGGCAGGCGGCCTTGGGCGCAGGGGAGATGGGAAGGAGTCAGGGGTGCGAGCACGCAAGGAGGGAAGGACCCCCCGTCGCCCACCCGGGACTGGGTGACTGGCGAGTGGAATGGATTCTGCCCGCCCGGGACCTCGCCCAACCGAGGATCCTCCAGGCTTAGGCCCGCCCTCGCTCACGTCTGCCTTCCTGTCGGAGGCCTTTTCGGTCGACGACACCTACCTGCCTCTACCAGGTACCTTTGGCGTGCCTGTGAGCCCGCTCGCGACCCGACCCATCGCTGTTCGCCTTGGCCCTGCTGATGGTCTTCTAATTTCGAGGCCAAGTCCCCTCAAAAGTGGGCGCCCATGCCCTTTTGGTGGTCCCTCTTCCTCTGAAGCTCTTTTGGGCGTCGATCTTCGCGCCAATGGCACGGTACATTGGTACAGTACAGTACCTACCTCGGAACCTACCCTCTCTACCTTGGAAACCACCGACATACCTTGGACTACGTGCCATGGAGGTGAGGGGCGGCCCAGCCTAACCGAACAGAACCTGCCCCGGAAGAGGACGATGCCGAGGACCAAGAACAGGAATAATATCAGAGTCACGAAATGAGCCAGGAAAAAAATAGAAAGGCAGCCAGTAAGAGGGGTTTGGCAGGTGCCAGCCGCGCATTCAAGCGCCCTGCTTGGCACGAGCCTCTGGCGCTTGTCGCCGTTGACGCTTGACGGAGCCGCCGTCGCGTGTCGACTGCTGCCCGCCGTCGCGGGAGCGAACACCCCCGAGTGGAACCCACCCGGCGGAGAGCAGCGACGATAATTTTGTCATCTGAGCCAGAGAGTCAGAGGGCTTAGTGGCTTCGCGGACAGAAACACGGCCTGGCGCCGGTCTGTCGCGGTCCCATGCTCGGCACCGAGTTGGGCGGCGAAGACAGGACTAGTATGCAGCCCACGAAAGAGCACATCACGATGCCGCCGTGTGCCTCTCGAACCCAGCCTGGCCCGGGGCTGTTTGGCCCTCTTGCGCGCCGCGGCACGCTTTCTTTCCCTTTCCCCCCTCCCCACTACTTCCTGGAGGAGAGGGTGGGCGGGCGGGCTGCCTGGGTGTCTGTCCCACAGCGCCCGTCCTTGCCACCCCTCCCCCCCTGCACACACCCCTGTCGCTGCAGCCAACAAGGGTTACTGCTATAAGCCATCCCAAAAAGGTACCGCGCCTCAGCCTCGAAAGCGACAGAGAATCGCCCGCTCATCGGGAGCCCACACCTCCATCTGGTCAAGGCTGCTCGTTATAGCAGTGCCTCTGTTGGAGAGGCTATCTTTGTACAACAACATGTCGTCCAGTTTCATCGCCCGTGGAGTCGCTGCAGGTCCCAAGGCCTCTCCTTTCACGTCGCTTCCCCCCTTCCCCTTCATTTTCCCCTTTCTCATCTCTTGTCCTGGCCCTCGGCGACGCACGCAACCCAACCCCATCCGTGACCGCAACCACCATCTGCCAGAAGGCTGAGCCCGTGCTTCCGTGCTTGACGTTGCTGCGCGCTCCATACCTACCTCCCTCTTTCCCTCCCTCACGCCTTATCCCTCTTGTACACATCGGCGTCTCTATATCTCACCCCTCTAGCTACCCAGCCCTAGAGCCTCTCCTTATACAAACACCCCTGCCTTTCGGCAGCTCACCCTTTCTCGCTCGCTCACCTATTTCCATCCGCATCTCTTTTTTTGTCTGGGGCAGAAGCCGTCCGGCCGGGGCTGTGTGCAGATTACTGGTCGGGGACTCCCACCATGGCTAGCCTTAAGTTCATCATGGACCCGGAGGTCGACCTGCCCAGCCATGAGACTATAAGGGCCCCGGCATCCTTCGCCACACCCTTGACCTCCCCTGCTCCAGAATCTTCGGCACATCAAGGTCATTCCTCCACCTCCGGTCAAGACCACAGCAACTACTACAACACCATCGACGGCTATCGCATCAACATCAATAAGGAGACGAACACTGGCCACCCACCACCGCCATTGACCGCAGCAGCAACGACCACGGCAACACCAGACGCACGCGCTTCAGCGGCGGCCTCGTCGCTGCTATCACGGAAAAGGCACCCTGGCTTGTTGGAGGGCGCACCAAGGTCTCCGGGAGCCACTTCGTCGTCTTCAAGGCACGCAAACCCGCGCCCTCGAAGCACAACGAGCCCGGACTCGATGGACGGCCACAGCTACCCACCGCCCACCCCGATGGGGGCGAGTGGAAGAGGGGCGGGAGTAGGGGAAGCTCCCGCGGGAAGAGGTGGAATCCCACGGCGGGGGTGTATCGTGGGGGGCATGGGCCAGTTGGACCATCCGACGAGGCCGATGCCTCCTCACCCGCCAACCGAGTCCCCTGTCCGACTGACCCCCATCACAGGCCGTATCAGCCGCGCGAAGAAGGGCCAACCGGTCCACATCTGCACCGTCTGCAGACCGTCAAAGGTAAGTTTGCTCTGTTGGATCATCCATCTCAGCGGTCCCCGGGGCGCCGTCCCTGGTCTGTGGCCGTCTGCAGCATGTCGTATCTGCATCCCGGAGGAACTTTCGAGGGTCGTTCTAAGCGCTGACAACTGGCCGCTCCTTTCTCCCCAGACATTTACTAGGGCCGAACATCTGAGGTAAGAATCATTATCCTGGAGCAGGGGCTTTCTCGCGTGGTTCCTGCTGCCATACGCGTGCCAGCATGGAGCAGAGCGCGTGCTAACCTTTCTTGTTGTTCCCTAGGCGCCACCAGCTCAGTCACCGGACCCCAGGGTTCGCGTGTGAATGGCCCGGATGTGATCGCGCCTTCCACAGGCACGATTTACTTGTGCGACACCAGCAGAAACAGTAAGTGAAATCCTACCCCTATCCTAAGAGCGGCGCTGATTCTTTGTGGCTCTATAGTGAGCAAGAGGGAGATGGAGCTTCGTCAGGTCCCAGGAGGGGGTCCTCTGGCATGGTTACTTTAACACCGACCTCAACTTGCGAAGTGCCCTCGACCCCAAACATGCCGACGCCGGCGAACCACGGCTCTAGAGATGCGGCCATCTCAAGGGCCTCGCCCCACCACATTGGCAGAGACTATGGCGACAGGTCTTCTCTCTCGCGGCAGCGACAGGACCCGTACAACAACGGCGAATTCATCCTTTCGAACCCAGGTTCGAATCCGGTTCCATCGAGCATATCAACACCAACGACTCTCAGCCATACCGGCTACGTATCCCATCAGCCCCGAGTTCCGATAAATCTGAATGTTGTCACCCAGGGGCTTCAGGATCCGCCCATCCACAGCCAGGACGGGCCGATCCCGGATCTGACCTCCACTACCGACGTATCCATTTCGTCGCCATGGGCATCCTCAACGGACAGCACCTACTCAACTACACCATCAGAGGCTCGCGGGCACCCGCAGGCTGCCTGGATCCCAAGCTCAGGGTCGCCACATCGCGAGTGGCTCCCTACGTACCATACAGTCAACGATCCCCTCACAGTCCCTTACCCGTTTCCTTCGTCTCCACACCCGCTGGTGTCCCCCCACCCGGGATACTCTGTTCATCCAGTGAGCCACAACAGCCATTATACCATCATGGACGTAATGGGCAGTGCCTTTTCGGCCCCTGAGGATCTGTCCCAAAGCCTCCACCACCAAGCCATGGGTGTCGACTCCGGGTCCTCTGCCGGTGTAAACCATGGCGGCATTGTCCCCCGAAATTCCATTTCTCTGTCTTCGGTCGGGAGTTCCTCGCCTATCACTGCTCCTACCCGCCACCCTGGGCCCCTGGCCACCCCATCCACATCCCTTCCCTCGGACAACATCAGCATGATACACGGTCTGGGCCGCTCAAAGGAGGTCATGATGGCCGATCCGTCGGGTATGGGGATGGTCGTCAGCATGGGCGGCGGCAGTGTGTCCATGCTCGGGTCCGCTCCTTATGATCTGAGCGGTGGCGGTAATAGCCCCGGCGGAGGCGGCTTCCTGCCGTCGCAGGGGCTGGGTGGGATGGGAAGCTGCGTTTCCGGTCCTATCTTGATACCCAGCCCCCTGTCAAAGGCCGTCCACAGCATGATACCAACATACCTCGACGCCTACTGGAACCACCACAGCACCGCGTACCCTCTTGCCCACCGCCACATGTCTAACGAGTCAGGCGAGGACGTGTTGCGGTGCGCCATGGCCGCCGTGGGGAGCCAGCTCCTCGACAGCAAGGAAGACCGCAACAAAGGCATTATCCTCCATGACCATGTCGTCCAGGAGCTGAAGCTGGTGAGTCCCTCAGTCGGCGGGAAAGGCGACGGCGGCGCCCTAGCTCCCTCGTTGCTTTAGCCAACCAACCAACCAGCTTGCTGACGGCCCCGCGCGGACGGCAGATTGCGCAATGGAACCTGCCTATCATGCAGGCCATTATCTTGTGCGAGTACTTCTCCCGCTTCCGCGGCAAGAAGTCGGTCATGAGGCCCTCGAAACGGTTCGAGTCTCTGTATTCGAGGGTAAGTTCAAGCTTTCTTGATCAGACCTCTGACGACAGCTCTCTCTACCCTGGGTCTTCCGGGGCTCCGTCGTCAATGTCTTCTTCTTATACTTCAACCTCCTCTCGTTCCTCCTGGTACTCCGAATCTGCGAGTACCCCAACGGCCCTCTCTGGATTTCAGTCCTTTGGCTACGACCACACCCCTTTCATATTGCCATCTTCTTCGTCTTCTTCCTTTTCTGCGCAGCACTCGCTAGCGCTGCCCTCAACCTTTGGCGGGCCCGCTTCTGCAGCTGTAGCCATGAGGCACCAATACTTAGACCAGTCGCAGGCACTGAACCGGCTCTCGTCCATATTCGAGCACGCCTCCACGGCCCATACCAGCCCCCACCTAACGACGGATCAGCGGTGGCGCGCCTGGCTCGACGCGGAGGCCCATCGCCGACTGCTTAACGCCTGCTTTTCCCTCGACATCCACACCTCCATCTACCACGAGCACCACCGATCCCGCGACTTCGATATTTCAGAGCACGGCCGTGTGCCGCCAATCCCCCTCATCGGCCGCAGCCGTGATCTCTGGAATGCACAGTCGGCTGAGGAGTGGGATGCCATCCTGAACCGAGACCCTGACGCGGGAGTGCCGCTGTTCATTCCTCACCCCGACCAACTCACGCCCATGATACCCGAGGAAGGAAGCGCCAGCGGCTGCCATGGCGTACCACTGAATACTTTCGACCGCCTGGCCATCCTTGATTTCGAGGCATCTCGCCTTCCGAGACGTATGGTAGCCGGCTCCAGCCCGAGCAGCTCGGACGGCGGTTCCCCAACCCCTATTGCCGATGAGAGCAGACGAGCAGGGGGTGATTGGAGCGTGCTAGGAGATTCCTCCACTGGGAGCATTGGACTTGATCCTGTTGATGCAGCCAACCCAGATCTTGCGTCCTTGGACGTCGAGGCACGCATCTCGTATCTATTCCCGGGCTGTCCTGTTGCCAGCACATATCTCGCCCTGCACCACACTCCCCTCCACGACCTTCTCGCGGTCTCCGGCGACAGCTCCATGCTACCGCAAAAGAGTCCCACCAACAAGCCTACCGTCAACAACAGGAAGCGGCTCCGACTCTGGGTTGAGCAGGGCCAGGTCTCGCCCGCATCACTCGGCCTTAACAAGTCGGTGGTGAAGGCAACCACATACGCTGCTCGGGCGCTCCTGGAATTCTTCGGGCCCGAAGCTTGCCTTGACGCCACAGGGGGCGGCTTTGGGGTTATGATGTGTAAGCTTTCGGATTACTGGGCAGTTTATGTTTGCGCCCTTATCTGCTGGTCGTCTGGGCACCAACCGGGCCGCGGAGGAGAACAGATTGGCTCCGACGTCGCAGTCTCTGATGGGGAGGCCCTGGAGTGGCTGCGATCGGCCGCACATGCACAGCCAGATGACGCAAACGCGTGGGCGCACATCTGGGCCAGCAGGGGGGCCATTGGTGTTGTCAGCCTTGCACGACGCCGCCTTGAGGTCGACCTCAACGGCGCGCGGAGTCGGCTCCATTCGGACGCTGTGGCCAGGCTGAAGGAGCTCGAGCAAGGCGTCAACTGGAGAGGGTTTTAACCCCCAGCAAAGCCGTTCCCCCCTATGGAGGCATGAGTTGTCTCTGTCAACCGACAGGATTCCACGCGGCCCTCCTTTCTCCTCATCTTTTCCCACATTTTCCCCCTTTTCTCCCACGACAACGACGACGACGACGACAACGATGAAATGGGCGATTGTAACAATAACAACAACAATAACGGAATGGTTTGGGGAGGCTCTACATCTCTTACTTTCCCTTCTCTTCGTCTTACCCCCCTTTTACACTTATGTCCCTTTACACCCACCCCCTTTACACTCATAGTTTCTATACCCCCACCACATTTGGGCGGCGTTGGATTGTACATTGGAGCATGGTCTTCTTGGATTGCTAATTTCCTTACGCACACATTGTTTGTTGCTTTCAATTTGTTTTGTTTCTGTTTTGTTTCTTTGACCGCATTTTCATGGAAGCTAGACACAGAGGGGTAGGCGATAATACCACAGAGGGGAGCGTGGAGTTTTGCTTGCGGTGGGAAAAGGTTTGGGGTTCCTTGCATGGTGGTTTTGCTTTTATATCTTTGCGTTTGCTTTATTGCCTGCCTACCTTTTTCCGTCCTTATCATCGCGGTTTCCTGTTTCCTTGCGATAATCCGGCAACGCGCTCCCTATCGTTTTATCCAGTAGGCAGCTTGATGCCACTGGGTCCTCTCGCTATCATGTTTCGTTTCTCATTTCATTTCTTGGTCTCACTCACTCGACAGGCTATTTCTGGATTTTCTCGAGCATCTTCTCGCCTCCCAGTGGGCTGTCTGGTGGGCGGGGTATGTAACAAGCAGCCGAGGGCCATATTGAAAGCATCGGGGGAGGGCATCGCACGCGAGGATTGAATGCACACATAGATAGAGATAAACCCGTCATAGCATAGCGTCATACCAGATAATCACTATTTTCACTAGATCATGAGCTTGTCAGGGGATTTCGGAGATTATGAGCGAGGCGAGATTAGGGTAGGTCAGACATGGACAAACGGTTCCTGAAACTGGACGCAATGACGGCGGGCGGTGTACGAGGTTTGTCTGGGTTTCACTTGCTAGCTTCATGCAGCTGTGCTTTTGAGTTCATGTCCTTGGCTGCAGAGCTGTAGGCCTGCAGACTTGATATGACTGGTGCCAGGCGGCGCGAGCACGCCGTCACGGAGCCAAGCCGGTAACAAAATTAAGTTCACACACAAACTACCAAACCAGAGCAACATCGAAATACAACCAGTTTTCATCAACCACCCACGACTTCAAATCACATAGAGAAAAGTCGGAAAGAAAACAGTCGTTTATCCAGAAGCATCCAATAGGGAGAATATTTTCTTTTGATTTTTCTCCCCCCTCGTGACCGGGGCAGTAATTGCACACGAAAGCTCGGCATTTGTTTGGTGTGAATTTGGGATTGTCACGCGCTTGGGAGTCAAGACTACTGTGCACGCCCATAGGAGGAACAGGAATAGGTATAACCCAAAAAATAAAAGTAAAAATAAAAACCCCGAATAGAAATAGCAATAATAATAGGGACGACAACAGAAAAAAAAACAATAAGAATAGGAAAGTTTACGGCACGAACAATTTACTCAATCTTTGGGATCTCCTGTAAGACTTGCCGTCCCCCTTGTGGTGGGCGTGTGTGCCCACCAGGCCCGTATCTAAAGATGGTCTCGCATGCCAGCGCAGGTTAGGATTGGAGCAGGAGAGTCACGCGGCACCACGGTAACCCTCGCCGGCCAGCCGATTGGTTTCAAATCGAGCCGATCCGCCACATGCGGGAAGAAGGAAGAAGGGGAAAATAAAAGTCGGCCGGAGAACACCTGTTTCAAGCGGCTGTAGGGCAACTGCACCGACAAGAAGAAAAAAGACAGATGCCAAAGCTTTCCCCGCATGAGACGGGTTTGCTACCATTCTGCTTCCATGAGGGAACGGATAGTAGAACGATTAATGGCATGCTAAACTGAGGGCGGCTTGTTTTTCTCCCTCTCTTCTCTCCCCTTCCTTTCGCTTCCTCTGCGATGGGTGGCCTGTCATCTACCTAATGTAGTAGGTCACCACCAGATGACGGAGGGCAAGACAGTGAGAGGTGCATGCTGCAACGCTGGCGCAGGCCGGTGTCGCTAGCCCTTTTCACATGTGCAGCCCGACGGCGGCAGCAACGGCGGCAGCAAGCAGCAGACAGACCGATCTCCCGGGCATACATATTGTAGGCAGGCAGGTACATACAGCGGGCGCCGCTCGACAGCACATCGCAGGGATGGAGATGGGTGTGGGAACTCTAGCCCAGCAGGCACTTTGAGCTGTCCAAAGGAGATCCACACACACACAAGCGCGCGCGCGCACGCACGCGCACACGCACGCGCACACGCACAACCAACCACCTCGCGTGCCAGGGGGCTGGCTCGCTGGCTGGCTGGCCGGGGATGACAACGGTCAGCGTCAGGTCTGATTCCGGGGCTGGAACAGGGCGTGCAGGCGATGGTGCGAGGAGTTAGATTGTATGTATGGTCAATGTTGTTGGATGCCGAATGCTGGGTGCTGGATGCTGGATTGATGAGGCGGTCACATTAGCCATCACGCGCAGGGGCCGCGTTGGCAACTGCTGCTATCTTTGCATGGCGTCGATAGACTTGTCATTGACTAGCGTCCTCCTTCTGGCGCCCGCATGTTGAGTCGCCGCCCGTGGTCGTTGATCGGTCTTAGGAGGCGGCGGAAGCCCCAGTCAGCAGAGCAGCCCAAGGATGAAGATCAAAAGAACAGCAGCAAGCCCCCAATGGGGGGAGGGGACCAGACCGCCTCGTTCGGCTGGTCGCGCGTGGGTCGTGTGGCCAAGCGTGGTCTGTCCTGCCTGCGGGTGCGTGGGTTGGATTACGTGGGAGTCGGACGTCAAGCAGCTGGGGTGCCACTCGAATGGTGAGCCTTCTCCACTCGCCGCCAGCAACGCGCGGGCAGCCCAAAACAGCAGGAGGAAAGAGCTGCCGACGCTGCCGTTGCTGCTGCTGGGTCGTCGTCCAACCGCCCTAGCTGGTGAGGCAAAGCAAGCAATTTGATGCGGTGGAGGCCCTGCCCTGCCTGCCCTGCCTGCACGCCAGTGACTGACTGACTGGCTGCCTGATTGACTGTTCTGTTGTTATCAACCGATCCCGCTCCCGACCTCCCCAACCTGCGTGGAGCAGGGGGGTTGCATCCATTTTTTTTTTCTTCCTTCGCTTTCGATGAAGTTTGCCGCCTCCCGTTGCTTCTTCGTCTTTTTAAAAAACATCCTCCTCGTCATTCGACATCCCGTCGCCACCGAACCAGCACATTTCCCGACTTGCTACCGATTCTAGACTACACACCCTCGTGATTGAGATCCAAGCGCCGCTACACTCTGCCGTTTGTCTCAGCCACCCACCATGGGAACATACACGTTCAAGTGGTGAGTTTCAATCTTTGGGTTCGGCTCTGCTCTAGCACCGACCTAGACCGACCGACCTACCTGCCCCAATGCCCGCCAAAACCAACCGGCCTTCTTTCCCTCTTCCTGCTCGATGGGGGTGAGGGCAAATGAAGCAGAAGCGCCATGGGGGGAGTGCTGGGTGTCTGTGTACCCCGTGGGTGTTTGTTCTCGGCGTCTGCGCGCGCGACTGTGTGCTTCACGCCCCAGCTAGGCCCCTGGGGGTGCCATACGCACCTTGCGCGTCGCTTTCTTTCTTTTGCTGTTATGGACACAAAGGGGCCTGTTGGCTTGTCGCGTGCGCAGGCCGAGCAATGACGTGAACGCGGCGGCCACGCGCGCAATCTCGAGAGGGGCTGGGCATGGAATCGCACCTGGCCGAGGAAGAAAGCAAGGAAAAAACAAAGAAATAACCAATGGCGAAGCTCCCATCACTGACAACGCACTCTCTCTGCTGCTTCTAGGCCTCACGCTGGCGAGCAGGTCTACGTGACGGGCACCTTTGACCACTGGACCAAGTCGGTCAAGCTTGAGAAGGTTGGCGATGTCTTCGAGAAGGAGGTGACACTCCCGGACAACGGCGAGAAGGTCTACTACAAGGTGCGTTTGCCTTTTCTCGCACCAATTGCGATTCTACAAGCGTGCCTACACCTTTTGTCTTTCTGTCGCCCTCTTCTATCCCTCGCCGGCTCTGTTTCGCTCCGCTCCGCTCGATAAGGCTGGCCACGACCAATTGGTTCGTGGTTGAAGTCGCTTGCAGCTATCGACCGGCAGCGTCGCACGATTGGAGCTATCCTCCCGCTTCCGGTGTCGGATGTCTCGGGCGGACGACCAGCACACTCGAGTACCCCCATCCTGCGAGCTCCTCCGCCGCCATGGTCCGACCTGTCTGCCTGCCACCTGTTTCACCTTTTCTGCTGGCCGTCTCTCCTTGCTGTTAATTTCCCCCCTGTGCTGTCTGTCATCAATCCGGCTTGGACTTATCTTCACAATCTGCTGGCCAGCCAATTGGCGAGCTTCGTCGGCTGCATTGTGGAAAGCCGTGCTTCGTCAATTCGAGCAACCCTTGCACGGTATGACGCAAGCCGACTGCACTGGCCTGGTCCTAGCTCCCTGAAATGACTGCTCGATTCGCGTGGCACGGACCGACAGAGGGCCAAGGCTCGCGCGCCTGCCTTTCACTCCCACGCTCCCACGCTCCTCCCTTCGCCCCGCCTGGACCGCGCTGCCTCTTCTTTAGTGAGCAGCACACTCGGGGCCCTAGCGGAACGACAGTCGGGGGGCTTATCCCCCCCAACTTAGCCCGGTCGTCATTGCCCTCTGCCCCTTGCGCAAGCTCGTGTTGCGCTCTCTCGGTCCGCCCCAGCCACCAACGCTTCTGTCCTGCCCGAGGCGTGACTACAAATAATTTGCTCAAGGAGCGCCCGTTCCGGACCTTTCTTCTGCTGGAACCAGCCATTTTTGGTGTTACAGCCTGCCCCGCCCCGCCGTCTGATTTAGCACTTGCCGGTTGTGTTTTCCATATTTGTCCTCTTCGTCTTTAATTTGATCTGCCAGAAGCACAATCCTGTTGCTGACACACTGGTTCGCAACCGGTACAGTTTGTTGTGGACGGCGAGTGGACTATCAACCAGGCGACGGCCAAGGAGAACGACCCGGACGGAATCGAGAACAACTTCCTCACCTCTGACGATCTTGTGAACGCGCCGGCCGAGACGGCTTTCATCAACTCCGTTGGGCCCGAGTCCACCACCGCCGCGCTGGTCAAGGACGTCCCTGTGGAGGACGCGAAGGGCGAGCCCAAGGAAGAGCCCGGGGAGGAAACCAAGGACGATCCCAAGGCGGAATCCTCAGCCGACGCGACAGCCGACATGGCCAAGGGAGACAAGGAGGCAGTTCCTGGGGCTTTCCCCGAGACCCCCGCCGCGGATCTGGACAAGGAGTTCAAGGTCAGCCCGATCGCTGCCTCGGAGGGTGCCGTCAACCCGATCAAGCTTGCTCCCGGCGAGCCGATCCCCGAGAGCGCAACTGCACAGGATGTCAACGCAAACGTCAAGCTCGACCCGGAATCGTACGAGAAGGCCGACACGCTGCCTGGCGTCTCGGATCTCGCCGCACTGCTGCCCCCTGTTTCCAGCACTATGATTCCCGAGTCAAGCCTGCCCATTGCCGGTGCCAATGACGTCACCATCAGCTCGGTCGGCCCTAACGCCACGACCGTTGCGCTCGCCGGCGAAGTCCCTCTGGAGCCCAAAGCGCCCGCTATCGTGAAGGAGAGCCAGGAGAAGGCCGGAGTTGACCCCGAGGCCAGCGCCATTGGCGAGGAGGTCAAGGAGAAGGCGCAGGTCGAGGCGGAGCTGCTCCAAAAGGTGCCCGAGGCTCCCTCCACTGCCGAGGGGACTGCCGGTCAGGGCACCGACAAGGCCGAGGCTGACAAGACGGTTGCCGAGACCGTCGCTGAGACTGCCGCCGGACTCGGCGCAACCGCTGTGGCCTCGGCTGTGGCGGCCAAGGATGCTCTGGTTGAGCAGGCCACCGCAGCGGCCGCACAGCTTCCCGACTCTGTTAAGCAGAACCTCCCCGAGTCTGTGCAGCAGGCTATTGCGCCGACCACCAAGGAGGATATCCGCCAGGAGGTCTCTCCCGAGGTGCCGGCCGAGGTCAAGGGGTCCATCAAGGAGGCTGGCGAGAGCCCCGAGGCTGCTGCCAACACTGCCGCCGTTGAGGGGAAGAAGGAGGTTGAGGTTGAGCTCCTGAAGGAGGTCCAGGCCGTTGCCGCCGTTGGCGAGGAGTCGAAGAAGGCAGAAGAGACTCCCGAGGCCAAGAAGGCCGACGAGCCTGCTGAGCCCAAGAAGGCCGAGGAGGCGACGGCGGTCGAGCCGGTCGAGACGGCAGCGCCCGCTGCAGGTGCTGCCGCTGAGGCTAAGCCGGCCACCAACGGCACTACCACCGACTCGAACGCAACGGCGGCCAAGGCGACGACCGAGACGCCAGCGGCCAAGCCCGCTGAGGGAGCTAGCGCCCCCACGACCCCGGAGAAAAAGAAGAAGAATAGGCTGAGCATGATGCTCAGCAAGATCAAGTCCAAGGTCTCGTCTCACAAGTGAGACATGAGGCATGGCTTGTGTGATGATGTCGGACGCGCTCAAATTGACGATTCGTGGGTTTGTATAAGGAGGACGGCTGCATGACATGGCATGGGTATCACACCTCCCTTTGGTCGGCATTTCCTCGCGTCTCTTTCTTTCGGATTATGTCTTGCTGCTTTTGTTTACCTGAGCTCAATTTGGCACCGCCCTTTCCTTGTTCATCTCGTATTTCCCTCGTTTTCATGTGTTTGTTTTCTGGTTCATTCCGTTGGTCAATGATATCCCCGATTCGCGTCGTCACGGAGGCTCGAGGCGATGAACCTGACGACTTTTTTTTCTCGGTTTGTTCTGACGGTCGTTTGGGTTTTGTTACTTTCGCCTGCCCACTTCTGAAAAGAAAAAAGAAGCATCTACCTATGTACCATAAACCTAGTCTACTCCTATAATTCGCACTACGCGGCATAATCAGGCCGGGTTCGTTTTGCAGACAAGATTTAAAGATTGATCTTGTCGCTTTGATAAACAAGCTCTCGAGTCCGAGTCGAGTCTTTGCCGAAGCGCTCGAGGGCTCGCAGATAGTGGGTGTCGTGTAAACCTCAATGGAAGCGATGTGGGATCTAGACGTCCAATCGGGACTGGTCGAATCACTGGTTTCCCATGCAGGAAGCTGAATGCAGAGGCTCCTGAAATCCGGCCTCAATGCGGTCCTAGAGTTGTGTCGCCGATGCGGGTGAGGTACCTACTGGAAACTAAAGTCGTCATCACGCACATCTTATCATGCGAGGGTGGTGAGGCAGGTCACGTGCACTGGGTGATGTG